AATGCTCTGACTTGGGTGCAAATAATTTCTCAAGCTTAAAGCATAAATAATAATTTCTGCATTTAACATACAGTCCACAGCGTATGTCTGTAAAACTAAATAACCGACTGTGTTTACATGAGATATATGAAGTTCACTGTGATTTGCGTATCAGAGATCAGGCTGTGAATCTCTGACCATATTTATAGTTGGATAATTGAAATTAATCTTGCCAAAATGACTTTGACAGCCCTGGATTTATGGTCAGGGAAAACAATCCTGGAACTGTTTGCTCAGCTATTAACATGGCTGGCTATATATTTTCAATCTGACTTAAGCTTATGAATAAAAAGAGGTTTGCAAATTACAAGCCGCGGTTCCTACCTCTTCCTTCCGTCCGCCACTTCCTGTCCAAGTTGCTTCCTATAACCGTTACCAAGATGGGATGACCTTGAAGATAGCAGACATATCTGGACATTTTATTTATGTATTTATTTGTAAAGCCATGGCAGGTATATTAGGTTATCTTTTATTTTCCCTCTCTCCATAGATGTTATGCCACCGTTTCCATTGTTTCCAACTGTCCCAGCAGAAGGCATCAAGAAGTGCCAAAACTAGAAGCGAGACTCCCTCACATCCTTCAGTGACACGGATAGCAGTTTCTTCATAACATTCGTCTGCCTCTTACTGGGGAAAAAAAAGCTTGTGCATTTTCTGTTTGTTTGTTCATGGGGCTTTTGTGTTCTTTTTGTTTTTTAAACTCAGAATAGACCTTTAAATAAAGGGCACATAAGATGTCATGGAGAAGAACATTATTAACTACAAAACTACCTCACATTAGCCTTACAGTGGAAATGTCATTTGTGGCTAGATATAAGACAGACACTTCCAACCTACACAGAAGAAAAATGCTTATGAATTATCTCCCTTAGGGGAGGGCAAAAAAAAAAAAAAAAAGCCAGCAACACCTTCACCTCCTCATAAAATAAAACTAAAGCAATAAGCAATCTTGAGTTTTTGTATCATTGACAAACAACTACATAATTTATTAAAACTGATCACCTCCATTTTTATTCAAGTTAGTTAATATTTAATGTCATGATACACCTTGTAGTCTTTGAATTCCAATAATGGATTTGATGCTTGTGAAAGTTACATCTTGAGTTGTTTTTTTTTTTTGTTGTTTTTTTTGTTGGGGGGGGGGGGGGTGGGGGTAAAAGAATAAAAAAAAAAAAAAATAGCAAAGAATCCTCCTCATTTTCCTGATACCAAATTTTCAACCACACAGAGATCTGCTGTAGGCATTTTCAAAAGTTATGTTTACAGATTTAAAAAAAAAAAAAGTATGTTTCTAATATAAAAAAAAGAGCGGCTTTATGAAAGCTGAGCTTCTAGAAATAAAAGAAAATTAGAGAAATGCACGTATTTGTATTTGCCATGTTCATTTACAATGTCTCTCTTCTAGAAAGGTGACAGCTAATAGCTTTGATATTTATCTTGCATTTCTTATACTTTCAGTATGATGCTTTCCAGGAGCGCTCAATTTGAAAGCAGGCATCCATCCAAACATATTGTATCAAGGGAGCAGAAAGCTCTCATTTATAAAATGTTAGTTTGTTATTACGGGAAAGGACTTATCATGAGATTAAGCAGAATAACTGCAATCGCTGATTATTATCCTACCACAAGCATGTTATCTTGCACCCTGTCCCCCATTCAGAAACAGCTTGTGTCAACCAGCAGCCACTTGGGGAATTAAAAGGTGGCAACGAGATAAGCGCATATTCTGCAAGGATAAGATGAAAAAATTATCTAAGCATCAAAACCCCTTGCAGTAAGCCTGCCCCGCTTTCCCGTTTTTGTTGTATGCACCCCAACCAGAAAAAGAGTCTGAAGGAGGTTACATATTTATATGATATCCTTATCACAGCTGGCTTCATCTGTATCAGGGGACTCTAGGCACATTACAAATTTATCAGTGACCCTCCCGGAAACACCTAGGATTAGCGCTGCCAACTCAGCCAATTGGCTTGGCAATTAATCTTGCCAAACCAAACCATGTGGCAGGGTTGGGGGGGGGGGTCTTTGGTGTGGCATTTCTGTATATAAGCACCAGCAAATTAACAGTTCAATCGGAGAACTACCAGCTTGCTTAAACTGTCGACAGCTTTCCCCTCCTTCTGCATCTTGCCATATATACTGTACGGGTTTTTCACCCAAATTCCATTAACATGGGCGCAAGGATCAATTGCAGCTGACTGTGCTGCAGAATCAAGTCTCTAGGCTGCATGTCGCAATCTTGAAACCATCGTGCCTTGTTGTCATCAAATCTCTTTTTAGAGAAGCTCCTCAAGAATGTCTAATTTTTCCACTGTACTCATTTTGCACAAACTGCATACGGAGTCTTTTCTGCAGCACAGCTTACAAATTCATCGAAACAGACTAGCTGAACAGACTCAATTGCCTTTTGGACTCCGCTAATATAATGTAAATGAACACGGCAGTGAGGCCTTTCTACTTTGTACTCTGCGACTATTCCCATTCTGAGCATATTACGTCACTTTTTGGCACCACCTCCTACTCCCTCTAGCCACTGAGATTTTTGCATGACTTAAGGTTTCAATAATTACATGCTGATAGCTAGCCTTTCACATGACGGCAGTGCTCCTTACTCTCCTATTTTCAAATGCAAAATGCACATCAGGTACGCTCGAGGTAGAGAGCAATGAGAGTTGCAAATGAGTGTGAGTGGGAGGCATGGGTTGGCAGTGAAGATTTGCTTTGATCCCTCTGACTACAAAAGCTTCCTCGGCAGAGAAGGTATTTTAAAACGTCTAAACAAAACCTCCCCTATGCAAATTCAAAACCCTTCTGACATTAAATTAAAGCTATTCTTAGTAATATTTGTTAAAGGTCATGAATGTGTCATATAAAGGATGATGAAAGTATTAAAAAACCCTACAAAAGGTTAAGAAAAGAGGCAACAGAACAATACATTTCCAATGTTTTCCTTTTAAACAACACACTGACCATTAATTCTTATTACTCATCGCAAGGGTGGTAGCATCATCCGTTATCAGAACTGGCTGACAATTTCTGTTATAAAATCCATTTCTCAACTGCTTTTAACTTCGCCAAACTTCAACTGCTTTGTCTAAGACCATATAAAACTTGAATATTTCTCTCAAGTTTTTGTTGTAGTAGCTGTTCTCAGTTTATTCAAAATATTTCATCCACTTTTAAGAATGAGGCAAAGAAAAGGAAATATTGTTTAGCCCATATGGAAAACAACTGATTTTTTTAAATTATTTAATTCTTTCTCAATTCACGATTTGAAGCAGAGACTGAAAATCTGATACCAAAGTAGCCTTAATTAGCTTTCAAAAAAATATGACCCTATTTGGCTGAATTAGAAATTTGTGAAAGCTCTCAGCTCCTATGTGCCCATCAGAGAAACACGAGACTCTCACAGCCAACCCCCTGAGCAGTCAAGCTGCACCCAGCCTGCTCCCGAACGGGTCTCCAGAGACCGGGACAGGATTCTCTCCGTACTTGCAGCAGACTAGCAGTGAGCTAGATGAAAGGAAAAAGGACAAGAAAAGGAAAAAGGAAAAGAAAAGGAAAAAGGAAAAAGGAAAAAGGAAAAAGGAAAAAGGAAAAAGGAAAAAGGAAAAAGGAAAAAGGAAAAAGGAAAAAGGAAAAAGGAAAAAGGAAAAAGGAAAAAGGAAAAAGGAAAAAGGAAAAAGGAAAAAGGAAAAAGGAAAAAGGAAAAAGGAAAAAGGAAAAAGGAAAAAGGAAAAAGGAAAAAGGAAAAAGGAAAAAGGAAAAAGGAAAAAGGAAAAAGGAAAAAGGAAAAAGGAAAAAGGAAAAAGGAAAAAGGAAAAAGGAAAAAGGAAAAAGGAAAAAGGAAAAAGGAAAAAGGAAAAAGGAAAAAGGAAAAAGGAAAAAGGAAAAAGGAAAAAGGAAAAAGGAAAAAGGAAAAAGGAAAAAGGAAAAAGGAAAAAGGAAAAAGGAAAAAGGAAAAAGGAAAAAGGAAAAAGGAAAAAGGAAAAAGGAAAAAGGAAAAAGGAAAAAGGAAAAAGGAAAAAGGAAAAAGGAAAAAGGAAAAGGTCTCCCGTGCTTTTTCAGAGAAGCTTCTTTCCCTGCTGTGGCCAGTAAGCTTGAAGGAGAAACCCACCTCATTCGAATGCAAAGGAAGGAAGGAAAAGACTGAGGGGAAACGACAAGTCCATTAGGACTGGATCATAAAGAACCAGGGAAAACACAAATGAGACTGGAGACTTTTCTCTGTAGCCTGATGACATTCAGTTGTTAAAAATCAGACCAAAATGCAGTGGTGTCATCAGTACTATGGCTGAGTTATTCAGAAGTCTGCAATGGACAATGTGATCAAAATTCCATCCTATCCACTTAAGTTGCACATTAAATCAACATATGGCACCTCAAATATAACTGAAGAAAGGTGAGAAACTAATTGGTAAGCTGAAATACACTAATACTTCTAGACGTACCTTCATAAAGAATGCTTTTGCCTGAATAATAAAGAAAAAAAAGGAGTATATGTTGATTTATTAATAGTCACCTTGCCAAAACACAGAAAAATGAATAAATTTCCATTTGTTCAACCTTACATTAAAATTTGTTGCATACTCATGAGCTAAAAACACAATACAGAAAACTGACTTAAGTTTTTGTTCCGTTAAAGTGCCTACTAAAGTTCCACACAGCTCTGACCTTATTTAAAAAAAAAAAAAAAAAAAAAAAAGCAAGATGCCAAATAAAAGCAAACACTTTTCTTTTCACTGTTCTAAATTATGTCCTTCCAGCTCTCTGTTAAGTAAAGCCTTTGGTCTCACATGAAGGCCTGTTTTGCACCCACTTCCACAAATTCATTTACGTACTTAAAGCAAAGGCCACAATTTGGCGCTAGATCTCCCTCTCTCACTGGGCTAAAATACAGAACACTGGTTATTAAGTAAAGTTATCAATCAGCTAATGAAGAATCTTTAATAACTCCATACCTATTAACATCCCATATTTTACTTGTGTTGTCCATGGAGGCAGAAGCCACAAAATTGCCACATGAGTGCCATGAGCAGTCCCACACGGCATGGGCATGTCCTTCTAAAGTCAGGATGCATTTGTTTTTCGAAAGATCCCATATCCGAACTGTTTTGTCCGCACTTGAAGTGACCAACTGGGTACCGCTGTGAAAATAAAAATTGGCAAGGATACAGGTGAAGATTCTTCAAAGTACACAGCAAAATCATTTAATTATATTTAGAAGGCCAGGTTAGGCAGCAATAATTATTTTTACATAAAAGATATATGAATAAAAATAGACATGTGAAAAGATTCCTATTTTTATTTTTACACGGCCTCCTCTGATACATCATGGATGAAGCTCTCATGTATGAAATACACCACAGAAAATGAAGAAAAAAAAGATATGAAAGAACTGTCTTCCACGGGAAGTAAATACGAGATCCAAAAATAATATTCTCACTTTTTGTAACCTCATTAGGAGTTTATCAATAGAACAACCGTTAGGAGTTTATCAACAGAACAACTTAAACCGAGAGAATTACTTTCAAAATAGAATAAAATAGCTTAGGGGCAGAATATTATTACACAAGTTCAAACCTATTTCAAGATATAAATTATTAATTTAAGCATCACATGTCTGTCTCTTCTCACTCAGTATAGCTACTTTATCACATTCACTAATGGCTTCATTGACATGTTATATAAATGAAAAGCACAGTTCCACTCACATTTCTTAAAATTTCAGATATAAACTAGTATAGCTCTAGTGCATTTAAGCATGGGCATGCCACGTCAGACTACAAGTCCATTTGGCTCAGGAACCTGTATTTTACCACAACTAGCAGTGGATTCTCAGTAAAGATGAATAAGAGAAAAGACAGAGTGATTCTCCTATTATATGCTCCCACACCCATGGCTCAGGACTTCTTGAGACAGAAGCTGGGTCACAACCATCCACGGTTTTTTTTTTTTTTCCCCACGGTTCTCTCCGATTGCTTTTTGAACACATACAAACACTTGGCATCCGTGACCTCCTGTGTCAGTGAGTTCCACAACTCAATTATGCATTGTGTGAAAAGTAATTTTTTGGTCTTCAGGATCTTATTTGATTTCATTTGATGCCTCTGATTCCAATACTATGATTAAAAGTAAACACTGCTGACCCCTGTAGCTTCTCCACACCACTTGTGATTTGCCTTTCAAATCATTCCTCATGTGGAAGTCATTACGTATCTCTGACCATGCTTGTCATCTGCCTTAGTACCTTTTGAGATGAAGCATGAGTCCTGAAAAAAGGTGTCCCCAGTGCAGGTGCACAATTGCACAGTGGTCTTTTCTGTCTTATTCTGTATTCTTTTCCTGAGAACACTGGATTAGCGTTTTTTTGGAGCTACTGAGCAGACATCTGCAGCAAACTGCCCACAGTGGCTCCAAGATTTCTTTCCTGAGTACTAATAACTAGTTTAGAGCCCACTATTATCTATGTATAATTAGGACCATTTTTCCTCATATGCCTTACTCCGCATATATCTGCACTGAATTTCATCTGCTACCGCGTTGGTGAATCGCTTATTATTGCGACTGGAACTCTCCTCCTGCCATTGTTCACATGTAACCTTCGCTTTACTGACCTGGCTAACTACGGTGATCAGCAAACTCTTCTACCTGATCCTCCTCCATGGCTTTCAACATCATCTTAGTTAACCTGAACAGCACAGGTCCCAGCACACGTCCCTCTAGGACTTGGACAAGAAGTTCTCCCTTGCGAACACGACGATTTATTCCTACCCTTTCACTGAAATTTACCGAAAATCCAAGTATACCGTATTTATGAGATCTCCCTTGATCAAATGCTCAGTGTTCCCTTCAGGAAGCTAACCATTTGATGAGACATCATTTCTGAAGTCATAATGACACCTTCCAGAGTTTCATTATAGTAAATATTTACACATCCTGTAGCTTTGCTTCATACTATCCAGTTTTCCCAGTACAAAAGTTAGATTGACTCATCTACAGCCTGCTTGTTGTCCCAAACCCTTTTAAAAATTGAAAAAAGTTAATGAGGCCTTTCCATATTATACTAGGAATTATGAGGTTAAGATTAGAGAAAAAATGCTTGGCTATTACACCGAATATACAGGTCCAAAATAAATTAACTTCAGGTATTCAGACTAATTTCTCCCCTGTTGTCGTACTAATATCAATAAAAAGATCTTGCCTTTAGGATACAAAAAACTCTGCTTTTATTTGAATAATAGAAAATGTGTTGTCACAAGTACTAGATATCCTTCCAAATCTCTGGATATAAAAATGCAGGAACAGGTAACAGCTAAGGGTTCCCTCCAAGCTCCACTGTGGAGCTTCATTCTTGGAACATACTCAGAGGTATTTAGGCTTTTTTGCAGTGTAAAAAAAAAAAAAAATAGGGAAATTTTTTTGTTTTTTTTAAACATCTGTTTTATTCTTCCCTTCTTCCTTTTCCAATAGCTGTCCACCGCCTTGTTCTGTAAAGGTACCTACTAAGACACCTTGAAATACGTGTATCGTTTACAGACTGGATCTTAAGGGGGAACTTGCCATTATGAAATATCACCTAACTAAACTGTCAGTAATTTAACACTTAGTTTGTTTCATTTTGTTCTTTCACACTTGCCATCCCTTTTTCAAAACATCATGCTCCTCATTCAGGCAGTTACGCCCTCATGCCTAAGACAAAGTTCTGTGATTTTAAGCTCTTAAAAATTTTAACACTGCACAGTAATAATTCTGGATCTTTCTTCTTATATACAAAAGCATAGGGGCTTGAAGCCTGAGTAAGGATTACCAGAAGAGGCCTCGATTTTGTCAGGCTGCTAGGAGCAAGTGTGTTTTTACTAATGAAACACTTGTACTTTTAATCACTCAGGACAGACCTCATTTCTGGAGACAGACAAAATTAGCAAAATGACAAATCATCATACCCTTTATACATTTATGGAATAAAAGAGATATTTTAAAACAAATTCTGAAGCAGGTATAGATTTCATCAGTCCCGTTTTATAACTGATTCAGAGGGTAGTGTGCGCTGCCACAGCTGTGAATCGCAAAAAAGATTCATTGCGCGTGCATTTTTTAATATAGAATCCCCAAAACGCTCCAGAAAAAACAGGTTCCTTAGACTGAATTTTGACGATATACCATCCAGGCTCTGATGCAAATCTTTTAGAAAACAGATATGAGCAGGAAGGTAGTTCAAATAGATTTACCTCGGCACAGGGTGGCAGGGAAGGAGTTAAAAAAGAGGGTTGAGAGCTCCTCCCAGATCAAAGGAGAAAAAAGCAGACAGTGGGAAAGCAACAGCAGAGGTGGTGAAGGTAAAGTGCTGAGAGGCAGGCTAAGAGTGGAAGCAATAGCAAAAAATGCGCTGCAACCCAAGGAAGCCACCGGCAGAGAAACCTCCAATTATATGGAGGGTATGTATTTTTAATTCAGAGGATCATAAACATTTTTAATTCTTTTTACCAACATAAATCAAAAAACCAGACAACATATTAGGTGAGAAAACCAATATAAAAATCCTATCTTCTTTTTTCAGTTCAAACACATTCAAATATACGCAAATAACTTTGCTTGCCAACTTTCAGAAATGTAGTGCTGCAATCTTTTAAAGCAAATGGCAGTACATTCATGTAGTATGGAACAACGCTATATGGACCAGATTAGTTAGTTTTCTGTGGTCTTATTTGCTTTGCTTTGGGCTTTTTTGTTTAGAATTTCCAGCAGACCAACACTCTACAAGGGATATATATCCCATACGCTTCAAGGGATAGATCTTCTTCCGTAATACTCAATATAGGTACAGTTCTGCCCTTCAGCTTATACCAGGTATTCCTGACTGATGGTATAAATCTGCCTTTCCAGAAACCATTAGGCTGGAAAGAATTTCGGAAACATTAATTCCACGTGCCTCAAAAACAGATGGAGCATTAACTTCTCAAGCCTTCATGAAGGCAATAAAAACATACGTTTCCTTCCATTATATATTCCTCCTCCTTCCAGCTTCATCATTCTCACTAAAAACGGCTCTATGCTAATACTTATTGAGTTGTAGACATACCAATAATTAGGGTCATATTCAGTGCGAAAACCATCCTTTGGCACAGGGTTATTCTACGATTCAACTGATTACCCTAATGAAGTATCAGTAAAATGAAGGCAATAGCTTTACTGATGGTGTTACCCCGTAAATACATCAAACCTAGCATCAATAGTCAAAGCAGCTTCAAATACCCCTCCTCTTTCAGGTATTTCTGGATGATGGACTTCCCAGTTAGATCCAAACCTGGAGATGCTCCAGAGGGGATTACTCTGGTCACCGCTGAGGATGATGTGGAAAGTACAGCCAGTAACATATTCTGCCTCATAACCTCAGTTGTCACGCAGCACCACAGATCCAATCCTTCCAAACCCACCCTGGCTGTCATTTTCTATCCGCCAAAATAACTGACAAAGTCCTTTACATCATTTAGGATCTAGCTGCGTGGGACATCCCTCTTTCTAAGTAACATGTCCATGACCAGAGTGATATCTTCACCACCACTGAACATCATTCTTGTTGAGCTTCATCCTGAGTACTGCTGGAGAGATTGAACGTTTTCGTTCTTGTCTGTTTACTTGGTAAACAATAGTCAGGTAGACTTCTCTGCCCAGCACGTCTCATCTTAAAGAGTTAATCACAGGAATGATAGCTTAGTTTCAGCAGTTGCCAGGGATAGCACTGGGAATCAGACAACACTTTTATTAGTGTATTCTACATGGCATTAAGTGAACGTAGCAACACCTGTGCTACTAGCACATCTATGTATTATTTATAGAGAGCCGTGGACATGCCTGGTTTTCTGAAAACATACATTAAGACACGATTCCCTTTCCTGAGACGACTACCGTCTAAATCAAGAACTGGTAAGCACAGTTTTACACCTGCTGCTGACAAATATTGGCTCTCTGAACAAGAATACACTAAACCAAACACAACTGGTGTTAAAGTTTTGCTTCCTACAGGATCCACAGCATTGGGTAACATTTGACCGGAGCTTAACATCAACATCAGCAACTCAACCACCTGTTTTGAACTTACAGTCTAAAACATGCTGTCTAAAACATTTCAGGATTAACAGTTTCT